ATTGCTATGCGTTTACCTCACGTATTGCACAGACAGGCAAAAAATGTTGGCCCGACAGACAAATGGCAAGTGCAATATATGGGGCAAACCGGCTACAGTTATCCGGTAAATAAAATATTCATACATTTAATTTGCATTTAATATTTCATTTTCAAATCCCAGCGCAACCTATACAGACAATTATGGCATCCAAAAGCGGACAGTCCTACTAGTGTCGGGCTTCTGGAGCGTGGGTCGTCACATGAACTATACGTTTGAGTTGTTGTTTGCGGTGGTGTTGTGTCTGCCGTCACTCGTCTACAGTCCCATCCCTTACCTGAGACTCATATTCGTGTCGATTCTGTTGATTCACAGAACATATAGAGACGATGAGAAGTGTTCACAAAAGTATGGCACACAATGGGACGAGTACTGCAAACTCGTGCCTTACAAAATGATACCTGGCTTATTTTGAAGCACTATTCTCGAAACAATAATAGCCAATGTGTTAATGAGTTTACAATTGTTAAATGTTAAGTGTTTTCATTTTTACATGAGATCTCATTTGAGGCACAAAATAGTAGTCTGAGTCGTGAGGACTAACCGCACAAATGTTCCTAAAATTGACGTTTCGCTCAACTTTGTCTCAAATTATTTTCTCAATTCAATACTCTTTACAATAATTGTCAATAAAAACTAAATATAGACTCAAATGTGAAATTAGAGCCTAAAATATGTAATCATAAATTGTTTGTAAAAATAATTTAATGAATCAATTGTGAAGTTTTCGAGCCATTGCTATAAAATATGTATAATTAAAGACAATCTCTTTGGCGGATAAATCGGTTGTCTTCAGTATATCCATGAGTTTGTCACTAATGTCTCGTGACATGGAGTCTGCGGTGTCTTTATCTGCACTTCTGAGGGCTTGATATGCAGACCACGACTCTACGAGACCCACCATGTCGTGGGCCACCACTGTTTGCGGACCAACTATATTGTCGATGTGGAGGAACTCATAATTTGAGGGGAACTTCACGTCCCGATAGTGATCGACCACTAACTGAATGGTGGCTTTCGGTGACTTATAGGGCGTGAGACGCGTGTCGTTATAACAGCTGTCCATCAGATCTATAAGACTGCGATCGGAGGGATGGGACGGGT